GATGGTGGCACTTAACGGAGATTCGACGATAAATGAAGGTGGGGCTTTCTTCACGGTTAACAAGCGTTTGTTAGAATGAACAGGTGTCCACGCCGCCCGTGTAAAGTGAGACATGACCTAAGTTACAGAGAAGAGAAAAAGAGAGAAAATATTTTTATTTTTGTGTCACATGTTATATATAAAACATACATAAACTTAAAAACATTCAATAAAATATAACATCCGGCCATATGGCCTATGAGACACAAGGCACTATATTATATCTAAAACAGATAGTAGTAAATAAAATATCACAGCTTTATAAGCAACAATGGAGTGTGGTATATATATTTAAGTACATGACTACAAACTACGTTTACAAATGGTTACCGAGAAGAAAGTGTTATAATTTGTGTTTAACATGTTGTACCATAAGACTCTTAATATAACATCTGGCCTGTGAGACACAAGCCACTACATTCTACCTAAAACAGAAAAGAATATCACAATTCTATAAGTAACAGTGGAGTGTGGTATATTTAATTACATGACTACAAAGTGCGTTTACGTCTATTAAACATTTTAGTAACTAATGCAGCTAAGGGTTTTATTAATTTAACATTACCTAGCATATATATATATGGCCTGGTCGGAAGGTGGCAAGAGAGAAAAAAGGGTTAATATTTAGAACATTTTCCCACAAATCGTATCGTAAATCTGAATATAGTGGACAGCTGACCAAAAAGTGAACTTCGTCCTCAATCGTATTGCCATCACAATATTTACAAATTCTATCGTCTAAAGGTGTTTTGGGGCGTGTAAACCGACCGACCTCTATTTCAAGAGGTAAGGTGCCACATCGTAACTTGCTAAGTGTACTGCGATGAGATCTAGGCAGAAGTTCAGTGACATATGGTTCAGCTGTTTCACACATTGTTTTCAGATGCTCCTTAATTACATCAACCCGTGGGTCCTGTACAAATGTTGGTGCAAAGCAAACATTATGTTAAACAAGAATTAAGCCATATTTCGTTTCATTCTAAGTCAAGACGTCGATAACAATAACGTAACAGAATAAACTACACGTGACAGATAAAAGTGTTTAATATCCTATAAGCAGGAAATTCTTGGGGCAAGATTACGCAGTTCGAGACGGTTGAAATTCGACACGTGCAAGTTCACGTTTGCTACAACGTGATTCGACTGTACACACATTGTTGCAGATATGCCATTTGCGGGGTAAATCTATGAGTTCTATATTGTGTAATGGAACACTACGACATGTTAATGCAAACAAGAGTATATACTGTCCCATGTATTGAGCAATGGTTGTTATATATTCGTTCATATTGAAGAGAGCAGTTCGAAAGTGCAAAAGAGGGCTATGACTCAAGTTGGGAGGATGTGTTGTCTGTTTGAAGCCATGCATACTTTCATCCGATATCAAATGTTTTGACTTCTCATTAAATGGGAAGATATGTTCCATGTGTAGCAGGGCGGGGAGTCATCCCACAGATGACATCCTTACCTTGTGAGATTGCTGACGGGGTTAACCTCTTTGGTCATGTGAACAAGACGTTCGACTGTGGATCAGAAGGTCCGTGGTTCGAATCCCGGCACGGGTCTGGGACAGTTTATGGCTGCTATACTTTATATTTGAATAGCAATGCTAAGTTTGACATGCCAACAAAGACACATGACAAACGTTGCTGTACACAGTGTGGTTATACGAGTCGTCTGTGGAGAAAGCTATTCACTTTACAAAATGTAATTGTTGTCCCACAATGATTTAAGTTTCTACGACCGAATGTACTCTAGTCAATTAGCTGAATATGTGGTTGCTTCTAGAATTGTCTGCGTAAACACTGAGGACATTTTCACAATTTAAGAATGTACTCTTTTGACCGTAACAATCATTGCGATATAATCTAAAATTATTGTTGAAAGCAACAAATTTACAAATTGTTCAAAATCTACCGACGTACAACTATCATGGATTCAGCAATCGAAAATCTGTTTTAAAACTTATGTGACTGTACACAGTTGTATTGTACTATAGGCCTGTGGATTCGTCAGTACCCTGGCGCCCTGATATTGCTGGAATATTGCTTAAAGCGGCGTAAAACTAAGCTCGGCCAGTACCCTGAACATAAGAATACTGAGGACATGTACGAAATATGTGTCATTGACCTGATAGAATTTGGGAATTTTTGCCTGACCTGAAACACATCTTTCTTCATGTTTACAAAACAGTACTTAATACACAGATTACCTACCTACTTGGGTGTCCCATTTCATCTGCATTAGATCACAGATGTAAAATCTAATGCAACCAAATCAGACCAACCGATCTCATTTGCCGCCTTTATGACAAGCCTGGGTAGCTGGATCTTCACGTTTATAAAAAGACGACAAACACTATAAATAGAATTCACTGAAATTTATTTAGACATTGGAAAGTTTTGAAAAAAAATATATGAAAGTTAAGAAGTCTGACATGTAAACAAAAAGACGTAAACGCATTTAATAAAAACTACGGTCATGAATCACAATTTGCCAACGAAAATAACATCGAAAATGGTACCAGGATTTTAGAGGACAACTGAGTGAGTGAGTTAAAATTTAACGTCACATCGGCAATTTCTCAGCCATATCGTGACTAGAACATATTTGACATTGACATGGAATATATTTATAATATAAAAACCTGTCAGCAAAGGACAGTAAAACAACTAGAATATCACAATTTGTATTAAAACTAGTATAGAAAGTTAAAACTAATAGCACTATGGACAAATCAATATAAAAACTGACTATAGATCGCCAACAACTGATGGTAGATCACCATACTAGGGACCATGGGGACTTACCGTACCTTTGCTACCTGCATGGACCCTAGCTGAGTTGACACCATCCCTTCAGCCATTGGCGTTTATACTGAGATTTAGCCATACATTAAAATGACAAAAATACTACGATTAAAAACCTGGTATACTTAAATTTACCTGAAATGTTTTGGGACTTACGTACCCTCGCAGGAGGACAATAATTTTACGCTACTTCAACCCCCTTTGAGGGTACAGCCACTAACAATCTCAGTTCCTAATTCAAACTACCAATAATAAAATATGTATCTATTTACAAATCACTTAACAAATCTAATTCTTTTAAAAATGCAATAAATAAATGAGAACTGACATTATTAAAAAGATCCTTCATAGTTTTTACTTTTAAATAGTTATCCCTTGTGATGGAATACTCAATGCAGTCAAGCAAGACATGCTTGACTGTGATTCTTTCATCACAAGTGATACAAAACGGAGGATCCTCACCTTTCAATAGGTATGCATGAGTATATCTTGTGTGGCCAATACGTCATCGTCGCATAATGACCTCTTCAAATCTGGACTGACAACCCAAGTAGGTATAACCAATATAGGGTTTTATTTCATGTAATTTGTTAATACCTACTTGGGTGTCCCACTTCTTTTGCATCAGATCACGGAGGTAAGTTCTAATGCTAGCTTTGTAATTAGAGTGTGGAATAAGAAGTGGTGTCACAGATTTGTTGAGTGCTGCCTTGGCAGCAAGATCGGCCATTGTGTTCCCAGAAATACCAACGTGACTGGGTAACCAACAAAAGACGATGTCGTATTGGCCAGTAGCAAGATCATTATATAATTCAATAATTTCTATTAAAAGTGGATGTTTACAAGAAAGGTTTTTAATAGCCTGAACGCACGAAAGAGAATCGGAAAAGATGATATATTGTTTATATTTAGGATGTCTCTGAATGTATTTAAGAGCCGTTAATATGGCGTTTGCTTCTGCTGGAAAAATAGAGCTGTTATTTGGTATTCTAGAAGATATTGTTCTGGATCCAATGACAGTGGCACATGCCACCGCGCCACCGTCCTTGGACCCATCTGTAAATAAGGATTTGTATGTATTATATTTCAGTTTTAATTGATTATATTCTTGTGTATGTTGTAATTCATTTTTTCTGATTTCTTAAACTTTGTCAGAGTTAGGTCAACTTCAGGCGTCACCAGCTGCCAAGGTGGAGAAGAAAGAAGACGAGAAGGAGATATATTTGCAAGCTCAATGCCGGCAGCAGAAATGAATGGCTTAATTCTCAAACCAAGAGGCGGAACAAGAGAAGGCTTTTTATTGTACAAATCCTCATAAAGAGGATTAAAAACACAGTTAAATGCAGGATTTGACTCACTAGAATATAGTTTTGTTACATACTGCAAGGATAATCTTATACGTCGTTGTGTAAGAGATGGCTTATCGGCCTCGACATAGAGACTGTCAACAGGAGATGTATTGAATGACCCAAGACAAAGTCTCAGACCTTGGTGGTGAACAGAATCTAATCGTTTTAAGGTGCTTTTGCAGGCTCCACCATAGACAATGGAGCCATAATCATCGATATAGATGGAGGAGGGTAGTTTGATCCCCTCCCCATTTAGAATTTGAAACGATTTTCAACAAGTCAAGTGCCTTCAGGCATTTAGTTTTAAGGGATTTAATATGCGGCAGAAACGTTAAATGAGAGTCAAAACTTAAACCCAAAAACTTGGCCTCCTTAACAACTTTGATGGGAGTGTCATTGAGAAACAGTTCCGGGTCTTTATGCGGTTTATATTTTCTACCAATATGTGTACAATTAGTTTTGGATTTAGAAAATTTAAAACCGTTTTCAAGACACCATGTACTTATTTTATTGAAACACAGCTGTAGTTGCCGTTCAATAGTATGCATATTCTTACCACGACAAGAAATATTAAAATCATCCACAAAAAGTGATCCATCAATTGAATCAGTTAACACCTTGGATAAACTTTTGATCTTGATGCTAAATAAAGTGACAGACAAAATACTGCCTTGTGGGACACCCTGATCTTGATTGTAATGATCAGACAGGGTAGAGCCCACACGGACTTGAAATTGTCTGTCATTTAAAAAGTTGGCTATAAACTGAGGCAAACGACCTCTCAATCCGAAGCCATGTAAATCTCTTAAAATGCCATATTTCCACGTTGTGTCATATGCCTTTTCAAGATAAAAAAAGATAGACACAGCGTGTTGTTAGAGGACAACTGACTGCTGAAATCAATACCCGGCTTCCTAGAAGCTGAAGGTAAGAAAGGATGTGCTCAATAGTGTTGACTGTGATGACCATCTTACCAAGTAAAATACAATGAAATCAGGGTTGTAAAATATTGAAACGCAACAATTACTGGAGATATCGAATGACTCATTCATGGATATCTTAGAGTGATCAAGTTTAGTTTTAGGCCGCTTTTATATTAAAGAAGAATAATGGCGAGGGACCAGCGGAATTATCTTTGCACATTTTACCCATGTGGGCAATGGAATCTGGGTCTTCGGCGTGACGAGCAAACGCTTTAACCACCAGGCTACCCAACCTCCTATGTTTTTGAACGAAAAACATTATGTAGTATGTATTAAACATAAAATAACACTTTAAAGTCTACTCTCACTAGCAACAGACTATTAATGATTCTATTGTATTTTGCTCCAGCAAGTAGCCCCTTTAACACATCCCACAAACCCACTCTCAATCCTTCCTAGTCTCCACACGTCCGCAACTTCACAAGATGACTCGGGAGTGCCTTTTACCAATTAGACATTATATACAGATGTTTTCATGACTCCACGTGTGTCCGTTGATCCAGGACCATATTGATTTATGAAATGACACTATGCGTGTTTGATTTGTATGATTCTATGATTGATTAATTACACAATCGGGTATTGTATCAATGCAGCTGAACATCAGGGTGGAATGTAGGTTAGACGATCTAATGTGGTAACGGCATGTGCTGTATACGGAAATTGGCATGGTGCAATACATCAAGATATGGACTGTTCTTTACCAACAAGCAACTACATCAAACATCTTTCTCGCAAGCATAGTATTTTGTGCTTGTCAAAACCCTGTCTCTCCACCGAAACGCATTGTACTTGCTTGCCACAATGTAGTCTTTGTTTGCTGTGCGATTTTCCGGGCACCCTGGAGCCCAAGCGAAATAGGTCATTGGTCGACTATCGTGGTATACCCACTGCCCTTCTGTTGCCACATCTGATCCATCGATGTAGTAGCCAAATGTTTTGCTATCTGAAAAGGACAGACTTTGGAACAACAAACATTCCATGTGGTCAATATTCATAAGTTTCCCTCCGTATTTGCTACATAAAGAATCTATAGTCCTTGTTACATATCGTGATTTGTTGTGGCCATACTCAATTTTACTAAGGATGTAAAGCGAATGCATTTTAACAAATCATGGATCGGTATTTTCTACATAAAGAATCTATAGTCCTTGATACATATCGCGATTTGTTGCAGGTATACTCGATTGTACTCCGGATATAAAGCGAATGCATGTTTGACGAATTACGGATCCAAATAACTACTTTCAAAGTCCCATAATACCCTCATGGTCCTTCAAGATCGTCGCCGGCAATAACATCTAATGTCTACTTGCCTACTCACTATTCATTCATCATAATCAACCAACTATTACAAGTAACTAATAGATTTTCTTTTGCAAATTTGACACATCCCACATGGTAAAGAGCTATGAAGAGATCTTTTAGTGATTCATCAGATGACACATCACTGTGTATATTCCTTCATATGTTGACTGGACATTTTGACTGGAAATAACTATATCTGCCACTTTTGCCTTTTCAAAAACTGTTAAAATCCCCAGACATCCCAAAGCGACAGTTCTTCACTAGACGGGCTTGTGAAGCGAGAAATATTAATGGTTTTGGAGTTCTGTTCCTAAAAAGAGCAAATAAGTGTACATTTATTTTCAGTACGAGTCCAACTCATTTAAACATACAAAATGCATAAGATCAAAACTATCTAAAAGGCACCAGTTCCCCAATAAACACTGGTCGGTGTAGCGCATTTCCACAAGCATTTGAACATTTTAATACAGATAACCAACCGACAGAAAATACTGGGAAAACTCCGCTTAACATAGTTTGTTTTCTTTGAAGAGCAATACTTTCGCATCCAGTAACGTTATAGTGGATTAAATAATAATCTGGACTTAACCCAAGATGCTTCCAACGAGTCTGATGAGTGCGCGATCACTTTAACAATGTGAAAACTGTACTGGACGTACTCTGTGTTCAGTGAAGAGCAATGTTACTAGTGTGGTAATCCTCTCTAATTTAGAATTCCACCCAAATGACCATTTAAATTGCTGCTTGTGAAAGACTTCTTTTCTATAAGAGAGACTGCATTTCGCATCCTGTCACGTATCAGAGGATTAGTTTCCCACCTGTAGAGGCTGTGACCTGCTTTACAAAGTGACTCTGCTTGTCTGGACTGTCAATGACAAGAAAGTGTTCTCCTCTTGATCTACAGTCAGCAAGACCCTCGATGTAGGAGATCTTGTCAGGATGAAGCTGATAGCAAACATTTAGGAGGCGGTTGTGGATGTAGCCGGGTGGACAAGTACCTGTCAAAGACCAAATGGGACACGAACAGTTATGGTTTGGATTTAGTTTGCTGCCTTCTTCATTTGATCCATAAATGTTAATGGAAAATTTGAAAACTGAAGACATGGCAATACCAAACATATGCAATGTGCTAATATGATGTAATGACAACCCCTCATCAAAATCTTGTAACGGCATCATAATGTTAAGTCATAGTCCAATATATACTGCCATATAGCTGAAATAACTAAATACGCTACTCCTCTTTGAAACGTATAAAGGTCTTTTCCATTATCTTGTTCATCATATATGTTTGCTGTTTAACACCGCACTCCAGTTATATGGCGGCGGTCTGTAAATAGTCGAGTCTGGAATAGACAATCCAGTGATCAACAGCATGAGCATCGATCTACGCAACTGGGATACGATGACAGGTGTCAACCATGTCAGCGAGCCTGACCACCCAATACCGTTAGTCGCCTCTTGCGGCAAGCATATGTTGCTGAAGACCAGTGCTAACCCGGATCTTCACGGGTCTAATAATGTATGTATATATAAACACGTTTGACAATACACAATGCCTTTCAGAAAGTGTTCAGAAAGTGGTCAAATGTAACATGTATATTTCGGAAAACGTACCTGAACTAAGACTGTAGTACACAGTTCCCGCCTCCTCTTGTCCATCCTGGGGCGACATGAACAACACGTCATGGAGCTGACAACGTCGATGTTGTCGTCTGTAGAACACAGACACACACGCCTCGGTCATAAGACACAGCGACATACATTTAACAGAGCTTTGAATATTGGAAACTTCAGATAGGATGTCAGTTGTTATTTTGATATTTGTGAAATTTTCCCACTTGTGTCCAAAACCTGTCTCGACTAAAGGAGACTCTAGGTTTGCAAGATAAGTCAGCACGAGAGCGATTACACAACACTCAATAGTGTACTGAACGTCCTTCTTCTGTCACAGAGGTTCAATAAATAACCAGTTGTTCGGCCCGATTTTGTAATCTCATTAGCTTAAACACAATTGCATACTCGTACTTGCTCATCATCTGCGAAAATAAATAGTTTACCCCCAGGTTAGACGTGTAGAACAAAGGGAATATTGACTGATTGGAAACTCATCACATACAGTATACTGTGTTCAGTAAGAATTCAACGCCTCTTAAAAGACAAGGTGAAGTGAATCGATATTATTGTATTCCTTGTGAGGTGCTTACACAAAACATAATCTGTAAAGTAGTACACATGCAGCTTTAAAGAATGAATACACATTGTGACTTGTAAGTAGTTATGCAAGTTATTTTTCAAATGACGGTGATATGTTGATCATTTATTATGTTTAACACTGGACAATGTTCACTGTCCTGAACTGACATTTTACCATTCGTTGACCGTCCGTTAAACACTGTTTAAATTTATCACATAATGAACATGCAATATATACATTTTGTTACAAAATGACACCTTTAACGACTTGTCAGTGAACAGCAAACATAGAGAGTTCTGCTTCGTTAACACAGGTCAGCCACATGCATCAATTGGGTTGTTGGCTTTTGCAACCTACTGCGCGTAAACTCAAAGTAGTGGACAAAAGTGTCCAATAAAGTTCTATTATGAAGAGCCTCCACCTTTATCAGATCACATATTTCCCCCTTATGGAATTTTTATATATCAACGACGGTGAGACGAGAGACGGTGCTTGAAACGATTGTCCGACATGGTTAGTGTGTGGTGCCAGCTGAAAATAGCTACAGACAGATAAACGTATGTCTGCAAGGTGTAAAAAAATAATATTCTTTGGCCAATATACATGTCAATAATCAGTCAATGTGTGTGTGTGTGTGTGTGTGTGTGTGTCGCATTACTGGCCTACCTAGGACTAGTGCGTCAAAGTTAACTCAGCTTGAACTGGTGGACAAAATTAATGTTTGTATAACGAAGTTATTTTAAACCTATTATTTTGCTCTGTGCTCTGTGACAGAGAGGTTCTCTTTTGGCGCAGATATGTTCTTGGCGTCTATGATCATAAGTCAATACTGAAGAGTAAAAGTACCAGAATATATTTGTAAACATCAAGTACTGAATGCTATTGAATATTTAACAAAATTCGTTTAGTTTTGACTGCGTCAATTCTAACACGGATCCTCACGGGTCTCATTATGATGGAGCCCCACGATAGCGGTTGAATAGTGAAACATGTAATTACATTTTCGTGTTTTTTTCTTAACTCCTAAAGGAATGAGATGTATAGTTGAACACGGCAAAGGAAAAAGGTTCTTATTTAGTTCTTACACGTAACGAGAGAACGAACTGATGCTGACCTGTGTGCTGTTTGTGTGGATCCCTTTGTTAGTCAAGTAGGAAGTTAATGTGCATGCATACAGCGAGGAAAACAAAGTGACTTTAGCCTGAAAGGAAACATATACTCCTTTGTAATCATCCTCCACACATTTCAACATAGTTTTGATAAATATCACTTCTCATGTGGTGGAAAACGTCTTGTTGCTTCTATTTAGAGTGAGTGAGTGAGTGAGTTAAAATTTAAAGTCACATCGGCAATATTTCAGCCATATCGTGACTAAAACTAGTTCTAAATTTATAATACATACAGATAACATATAAAACCCTGTCAACGAAGGACAGTAAAACCACTAGATTATCACAAAATGAATTAAAACTAGCTAGCATATAACTTTAAGGGTAGAAAACTATTTTTGGACAATACAATGTAAAAATGGGCCGATAATCGCCAACAACTGAAGGTAGATCACCATACTAGGGACCATGGGGACTTACAGTGCCTTTGCTACCTGCATGGACCCTAGCTGGATTTACACCAACCCTTTAGCCATTGGCATTTATACTGAGATTTAGCCATACATTAAAAACACAAAAATACTACGATTAAAAACCTGGTACACTTAAATTGACTAAATGTTTTGGGACTTACGTACGCTTCTATTTAGATCAATATCATAAAACATATATGTACAATTATGTTATATGGCACGTGCATCATGATATTGATTGAATTAGGTCTTTTTTTGACGATTCTATCTATATATTTTGTCAGATGAAATATTTTCGCAAGTCAAAAGTAATTGTAGACATCACCCTGACGGATTTGTTGTCAAAATTTCACTATGAGTACAATTGTTGACCAGTACCCGCAGAAAGTGGAAACTTAACACAGCAATAGAAACCCTGACTAGCTCGAAGATAATATCATTAGCCTGTGTTTATAAATCGCTATTAACTAGTGATGATATATCAGGTGTTCTCAAAAAACGTAAGACATCCTCCTGCGTCAGCAATGACACCCGTTGGCAATGAGGGCGTTAGTCTGATAAATTATCAGGTTGCATTGGACACAACTTTTGAAACTGTGAGTGTCATGCTATTGGACGACGTAGGGTTGTGATGTACTGCCAATGACCCAGACCTTTAGCGCTTTGGTTCACGTTTACAAGTACTGTGCTTGCAAGCGCAAAACCAAAGCCAAAGACCACAAAGTCAGTGCACTTTGACGCTTTAGACAACTGGTTCAGTTGTGCCTACTTCGTGGATTAAGGGATATGCATTGAAATTTGTTTATCTGTTGCTTTGCGCCGCACTTAAAAATATTCCGGCCATATGGCAGCGGCCTGTAAATAATCGAGTCAGATAATCCAGAGATCAAAAGCAACTGGGATACGATGACATGTGTCAACAAAGCCTTACCACCCGAACAGGTATGTCGCCTCTTCAATCAATCAATCAATCAATCTTTATTTTAGTACTTAAAAGGCCACAGGCCTGTAGTACATTTAGTACATTTACATGAGTAGATAGAAATCATTTATAAATTCTTTTCTGCAACAATACTTTTTCTTAATCTCATAGCGAAATAGATGTACATTGCCAGATTCTGTAATATTGATGTGGTAGTATCTGTTAATAGTGAAATTAATGTTCTTACACTTGGATGCTTATAGTAGTATGGCTTTAGGTATTTTGTTCGTAGAGTCGTATAAACAGGACAGATTAGACGAAAATGTAGTTCATCCTGAACAGTACTCATATTACATAACTGACATATTCTGTTTTCTCTTTGTATACCTGTATACCTGCCAGTTTCAATAAATAATTCATGGGAAGAGCAACGAAAACGAGAGAGAGCTATACGGAACTTCTTTACGCCGATTTTTGCTAAATAGTCTTCAAAACGTATGTCCGATTTCCATTGGTTATAGTATAAACATTTTGTGGATAGAAGTAGTGATTCCGACCAAGAATGGAAATAGATATATTTCATTCTTTGTGTAAATGATATGATAAAATTGGTATGCAACTGAACATTGTGATCACACTACACATAACCATAACCAGTTTTGTACAACAACTCCCTAATATCACTCACCCAATTCCTTTTCCCATTTTCGTCATACAATATCATCATATCATAACATTTTTACGGAAACCTATGGCATATGCAGTAATCTTACCCAATACTTTATGGCTTTAATGGAAGAGTATATAAACAAGGGGAATCTACCTAATTCTCCGTAAACCATCCTATTACATGTGTTCGGTTTTACACCAAGAAACTTTTTGCATGCATATAAATGAACTCTTTCAATACTGTCATATTGTTGCAATCCCCATATTTCAGAGCCATATAGAAGTATTGGATCTTCATATCGAATATTTTAAAGAATGTGTTAAAGGACAGTTCACCCAACAATCTCATATTTTTACAAACACCGATTAGGATTTTCAAGGCTTGTGCTGACGCTTGTTTTGTGTGTTTGGACCAGGAAAGGCTATTACAAAAATATACACCAAGATACTTATAAACACTGGTAGTTTTGAGTAGTTGCCCTTTATAATACCATTTTTCTAATTTAGAGAGCTTTCCACCTTTCTTAAAGACGATAATTTTGGTTTTGTCTCTGTTTACACACAATTCATATTGGTCAGAAAATTTGTCTAATTCATCTATATGTTTCTGTAAACCGCTAACAGTACTAGAGAATAGTACAATATAATCGGCAAAGAGTAGCAGAAATAGTTGTATTGTATCTGGGTGCAGTTGAATCCCATTCGTACATATGTCACATATTTGTATTGCTAATTCATTAATGAAAAACCTAAAAAGGAAAGGGCTTAAAATACAGCCTTGTCTAACACCTAGTTCACTAATGAAAGGTTCAGATAATTCATGCTGATTCCTTACACACACTTTAACATTTTCGTATATACTCTTCAACATTTTATTCATTTTACTACTAAGACCGTGCGATTGTCGAAGTCTCCATAGTTTTATCCATAGAATCGAAAGCCTTTGCAAAATCAACGAATAGTGCGTAGAACTTTCCACCTTTTGAGCTGAGGTATCTTTGTATTAGGCTATACAGTATAAAGATATTATCTGTTGTTGTATATCCCTCCCTAAAGCCCGCTTGACCCTCGTATATCTGATCCATGACGTCAGTCCATTTAACTAATCTTTTGTTGATAATGTAAGTAAATAACTTGCCAAATATACTAAGTACAGTTATTCACGGTAGTTATTGGTATCTTTAGGGTCACCCTGTTTATAGACTGGAACAAGAATGCCAACTGACCAAGATTCAGGAAAGTTCCCAGTGTCGAGGATAATATTGAAAAAAAGCTCAAGATATGGAAGTAAAAGATCAGATGAATGTTTGAAAAATTCCGGGAGGATGTTGTCTAATCCTGGTGACTTATTACACTTTAGATGTTGTATACTGTTAAGTATTTCATCTCTACTTATTGGGGCATCCAATATGTCGGGGGCTACACCTGTAATATGAGTAGACTCAGTATCGTTCACATAGTCTTGTCTATTTGGATCTGGGTTGTTATCAGAGGTAGAGTGTCGCCTCTTATGACACTCATGGGTTGCTGGAGA